TTTGCCCGAAAAACTTGCTTTCGGGGCAGCAATGGGGGTGGGGGACGGGGTGGACGACTTTCTGTCGAGGCCTCTGATTGGTTATATTCGTTAGCGTACAATCGAATAAAATCGATTCATTTACATACTTCCGTGATACAATAAACGTGACTATTGGAGTAAAGGTAGACGAAGTTCGTAATGGACTTAGTAGGTTTGGGCCTCTCCGCAGCATTTTTCATTTATAACACAAGCTTTCCTGCATTCCAAGACCTCTATAAGTCAATTAAATGGACGATTTTAAGATTTTCATTCTGAAGTTTATGCTATTTCGCTCATTTACATATTGATGGATGCTTACCTTGATTACGATCATATACTTTGATAGACCTACATTTTGTTTTAATTGTCTATAGTCTTATCAAAATTGGACCCAACTTTCGTTTCGTTTTTTTATTAGTTTTTTTTTTTATTTAGTATATATCCACTTCACAGCTGGGTCTTACAACCAGAGTCTATCTTTACTATCTTTACGACTATTATTTAAGATAAGGTATTGTAAATGGGCATATACAGCTATATTTACAAGATCGGGTGGATGTAAATGAACGTGTACAACTTCAATGAGCGTATACAAGTTTATTTACAATATAAGATAATTGTAAATGAGCGTACAACTTTATTTACAAGATCATATGGTTTTAAATTGGCGTTTACAATTCTATTTAATAACTCGGTAAATGAGCGTATACAACTTTTTACAACATAAGATAATTGTAAATGAGCGTTTAGAACTTTATTTACAACACAAGATAATTGTTGAAGAGTGTATTTACAAGATCAAGTAATTGTAACTGAACGTATACAACTTTATTTACAACATAAGATAATTGTTAAAGAGTGTTCGACTATATTTACAAGATCAAGTAATTGTAACTGAACGTATACAACTTTATTTACAACATAAGATAATTGTAAAAGAGTGTTCGACTATATTTACAAGATCAAGTAATTGTAACTGAACGTATACAACTTTATTTACAACATAAGATAATTGTAAAAGAGTGTTCGACTATATTTACAAGATCAAGTAATTGTAACTGAACGTATACAACTTTACTTACAACATAAGATAATTGTAAATATTGCCATGAAATACCACCATTATATCAGATCAAATTACTTACTAAAAAGTTTATCCGTATTCCAAATTCCAAATAAATTCAACAAAACTAATTTCATCCACACAAACGGCATTTTATAAAGTTAGTCTATGTTAGTCGGTGTATGCTATTCATCATCTGCCTGAACATTCTCATGTGTTGGGAATATGTCAATATAAGATATTTAAAGAGATCATACCTTTTACAAAGCACAATGAATTGAACTTCTCAAACTTAACCAATAATTGTTAGTGGACCTACCTGGTTTCATAGATGTACAACAGAATCCCAGAATAATGGAGAAAATTAGAGTTGGGAGATATTATGAGATTTTTTGTGTATCGCGATATAGACAATTTTTATCACGATAGGTTCAAATATTGTGATATAGACATAAACTCTTTGTAATGTTATACAGTATCTCGTTTATTGTTTTTGCTTAAAAATATTTGAAAACTGGCACATGAGGTCCATGAACTGAGACGCATTGTCAAATTTTGATGTTGATAGGGCAAATTAAGCCAAGCAATTTGTCAACCTTTAAACTAGCTAGCTAAAATCTCATGATATCGTCTTTTTTACGTCTGGTATCACGATAATTTCGCAACGGTATACCGATATACGCATATAGTCTCACTAAAATTCGAGTCGAATTTTTAACTTTCAAACTTGAATAATTATGGATACACATGGATTTGAAGGCTCAAATTTTGACGATGACCTGTGAACACTATTACTGATTATGTAAGCTTAAAAAATTCCTGTTTCTGGAACTAAGGTATGATTGGTCGAACGGATAGAGAAGGTGCTCCTTTAATTTCCAATGAAATAATATTATTAATAATTAAAAATCTGTTTGAAAGAATTATAAAAGAATGAATTACTTGTTGAACTAATTGTTTCTGTTAAATTAAGTAAGATATCGATTTTAATCAAGTTTAATTTTTTTATAGACATCTTCACAATGTCAAGCCAATTACGAACTTCTTACTTATAGCCTACCTTGATTGCAATAGTGACTATTGTTGTATCGCGGAATGAAGAGATTTGAGTCCGCGACAGAAAGGCTTTAAGAATTTTGCTTTTGAGTTCACGGCTTAACGGTTTATCAGGTTCGAACGTTCAAACAGGCAGTCGTTAGACGCAGACTGAAGTGGCTATATTAAAAATAAAAGTTTATAAAAACGGAACGTAAGTTTGGTCTAATTTTAATTAGAAACAATAATTCATCCCTGATTAAAATAAAAGACAAAACAAGTAACCTACTAAAGATCCGAAGCGCAAAACGAAATACAAAACATTGGCAATAGAGACTAATAATCTGTGGCGTCTATAGAGTAAGCCTGCTATCTGCCTGGCGCCACATCCGTTATTGTCAAAACATGCCGAAACATACATGAAAAGTGACTTGACCATCAGCTCATTTTGGGACTTGATATTTGCGAATTGAAAATTAGGTCTACTTGTTCCTGACGTTTGCTACAATAAAAAGTTGTATTGTTTTTTATTAGGTATGATGAAACGAAAAAATAAATAAATCTTGTCATTTTTCAATATAAAATTTCGTGACCATATGTCTTTGATAGTAAATGTTTCTCTACCCACCTGTGATATAAAAATAAATGATTTTTACAGACACACATAATAAACTAATAAAATCATATTTTTTTAATTTGCCTGTAAGTCGAGATTTTCAACTTTCTGTTACTAGACTAATGTACGAAATTTCAACCTGCTTAATGCCATAGACCCACCATTGATTGTTGGATTCACATTTCTAGAACTATCCTTTACCGTTTATTATTTGTGTCTGTAAAACATCATTTATTTTATACCACACTTGACCACGAGGATATAGTCTAGGATTTTTCATTGAATTTTCTTCTTTTTCAATTTTCATCAAGTTTTTTAAAATTTCAACAATTTAGCATAACAAGTTTTGTCAGTCAATATTTGATATTTTTATCCGCGGATGTTTTATACATCGAGTCATAGAGGCTGCACTTGGCGGACATGAGGACTGATGTCTATAAACTGTCGAAATCAGATCGATTATTTACAATTCTGCAGAAATATGAATCAACGATTTCAATGGTAGACCTATAGCATAAGCCGAGTTGAAAATTCGTATTTTAGGAAGAGAAAATCGAAAAAGCAGTTACCGACAATCTAAAAAGTATGTCTCCAAATAATAACATGCATGGTTCCAATTCGTCACAGTGGGATAGCTAAATATTTGCTATCTAAAGGATAACTATAGATATAGTCACAAAATTTCATATTGAAAGATATCTTGCCAGGCAAGGTAGTCTAACATACACCCCACTACAAGCTGTCAAAAATAAGAACAGTTGTTGGTGACTTAAATATGAATTTTACTATTCTAAAAATCTTCATAATACATTGTAGTTATTTATTATATTTATTCCAATTTCCTTTCATCGAAAAATCATCGTATTAAAACTTCACTACATTCTCATCAATATAAATGATCACACCAAATTTCATCATAATCGGATGAAGATAATAGGGCAATAACCCAAAAAATGATCATCGAATAATCGTCAAATTTGAATCAAACTGTTCAGCAAAAAACATCTTATTTGAACTTGACCGAGATCTCATGGAAATAAATCATCACACCAAAGTCCATTAAAATCGAATGAAAACTGTAGACTATATTGCGCTCACGAGCGGATTTTGGCGCGTTTTTACTAAGTCAAAGAATTGCTAAATTTAAATCAGTCCAAGATCTCATGATTTCATAAAAATCTGATGAATATGTAGTTTATTGCTCTCACAGACAAATTTTGACGCGTTTTTACTTAGTCAAGGGCAATAACTTAAAACCGTTCATCAAAATTTCTTCAAATTCGAAGACTTTTACTGAAGTCAAGAGCAATAATTCAAAAAACGTCCATCCAAATATTGTCAATTTCAAATTTGACCAAGATTTCATGAATATAAATCATCAAACCAAATTTCAGTAAAATCAAATAGAAACTGTGCTCACTATAGCGTTCACAAGAAATGTCCACAATTGCTCGTAAACACTCCTTCTAGACTAGACTTCTAGACGAAACTTGGTATGATGTGTTTGTAATCATCCAAGGTTGAACCCTATTGAAAATCAGAAGAATCGAAACATATTTAGCATGAATTAACGTCACCGGTCAATGGAGACAGACTGAAAACTTTTAATAGTTCAAGGGAGGTAATTAATGAAAATATTTTAATTTAATTCCAGCAGTTTAAGGGAGAGAACGAATCACAAAAGTTATTTAATGATAAAAAAAAATGTTAAAAACATCCGCAACCAGTGGCGGGTTTACGTCCGAGAGGGGTGGGGGGATATCTGAGATTGCCCGAATCTCTAACCTAGTTATGAGGTTTTTTGCCACTGCCCGCAACCATTTACCTTATATGGCAAAATCAATCAAATTAAAAAAAGATTATACAATTTCGTATCTTTTTAGTTTCTCATATTTTTATCTGCATTGTAATCTGAGAAGTTTTCTACCAAACGCCAAAGGTAGCAATTTTAACCAATCAAAGCGTGACATGATAAAATAAGCAATATCGAAACGTGAATAATATGACAGCCTCTTTGGGTTTTGATATCAAAAAACAAAAAAGATGCAAAATTCTAATGAGATTGGCATGAAGCAAAGTAAGCACACTCACTGAACAGGAGTTTATATTGTCTGTAGAGATAGTACTTATGATATACAACAAAACAAGTAGTAAGCCGAAATAATTTATATGATATCCTCCATTATGGCTTAATCATAAGTTTATTTGTCAACTTTCAACAATATTAGAATGAGACATATAGTCTTAATGTCTACAGAAAATGTTTTAACGTGACAAATATCGCCAGTTCCAATCACTATCTACAGTAAAGTCTTGTTGTGGGTGTGAAAAACATCTCACTAATTGACAATTAACAGTGTTGATTAAATTAGGACCATAATTAAAACTGATACAGTTGTTCATCTGTAAACATTGATGGATACACTCATATACATTGGTTACTTCATATGGTAAGGGTGGACAATTTGGTGAACTGGAACGTTTACCTACCACTTTCTTTATATTAATTTCTGTAATAAATCATATATTTAAAATCTTGATATTGTCGTTTAACGGACATTTTTTTTTGCTCAAATTTGTGAAAACTATACATCAAAATCTGAAGAAATATGTCCCTTCCTTATCTGAAAGTATTAACTGAAAAAACAGCTATTAATTTTTTAACGCCAAAACTATTTCAAAAGTTTACGTGAACGTTTAAAGTTCGTTATGGATTTTGGAAGATGTTAGAGAACTACTGTAGTAGTTATCTACTACATAGATATAAATAGCACACTTTAAAAATATTTTCAGGAATAATTTACAATGTTTTTGATAATAAATTTTTTTTTTACAAAAAGCGGAAACAGAGCGTACAATGAACGTTATATTACTCTTCAAACTGATAGGCATGTCTTATTTTCATTACTAGCTGATATAACTGGTTCTCAGATATACATTTTCATATGACAGCTATGGCTTCTGTGAGCTCCTGTTTCCTGATAATGATTTTTATGGAATTTGCAAATCGGAGACGGGAAATTGACATGGCGTAAATAGCTGAAATAGAAACTTCTTCTGAAACCCGTATTAGCATTTTCCCTAGAAAACTTAATTATAACGTCATCAAAAATTTAGAAATTAAGTCAATCGTCACATCTAGTGGTATTTAAGTTTTTAATTGTTGACGAATTGCACGCTGGATTTACTTTCTGAAATAGAGTTTTAACGGCTAGTAAATCAAATATTTAGTTGACTACAATCTCATTATTAGAAGTATATATCCCTTTATTCTAAACCTACCAGGTAAGTACTGTGTTGAACAGCCATTGTATATATCACCAAATATCTCTAATTCACATATTGTTAAATAATCTGGGTTGTTCAAAACAAACAGAACAAATCTTCCCATACATATTTTCGTACATGTTGAATTTGTCCAGGTGCCTCTCTCTGCTATGTTCGGGTAATGGACACAAATACAGTATTCAGTATCCACCATGTTATATTTGATATGAGGACCAGGATCATATTGCCAAACAGAAACAGTAAAATTTCTCAATCTATCACCTAAATTGAAATCATTAAATAAATACAAACAAATTTTATAATTCTCCCAAATGATGACTGATAATCTGATATCTTAGAAAATTTGGTCACAGTAATACAGTCCTGTGAATTCCTACAGTCTGTTTACTTTTAGACCAGCCCTGTGCAACCTTTCCGCAACGGTGGGTCACATTTGGAGGATGCGAGTAGGCCGTGGGCCACGTAACCAACCATCAATGAATCAAGGAGTTAACAATGCGAAACAAGCAATTTTTTCAAGTCATTTATTCAATACCGTATTTCAATGTGCATTGCAAATAACAGACATATTTGACGTAAAGTAACTATTTCACACGAGATCAGACCTCGTTAACGATTTGATTAGTAAGATTCATTTTGATGTCATGCTTTGATATAACAGCGCGGATATAACGTGTTTCGATATCAAAATATATAGGCAGCGACAATCTGCGGGCCACACCGACAGTGACAAGAGCAAACGAAGCATTTGCTCGCGGGCCGATCAAATTTTACATGCCACCGCGGGCCGCACGCAATCATCTCGCGGGCCGCAGTTGACCCCCGGGCCGTAGGTTGGACAGGCCTGTTTTAGACCAACTTTCGTCACTTATCACAAATTATGCATTATTTCATAACGCGCGTCGCTATTAAACATACAAAAAGAAAAACCTCTTGACAATCCCTTTAACCCTCGACCTTACATATAGGAAAGAGGAAAGGTTGGTGAGACCAGAAAACTCGTCAAATTATTCAAATTTCCTTGTTGACTCTCAAGCTAGAAACTAGTCCAGAACTTTGATGATGTTGCTAATACAACTTGTCCTTTTGCTACTTTCAAATATTAGTGAATTTATCATCACAAAAATAGTCCACTCTTTTCCTCTCCCATCGGTCGGGAGATCTTTAAAGTGCATAGCTTGTAATTAAAGTGGCCTCTTCGGTTTTATTGTTCCATCCGACGAATAGCACTTTTCAATATCTGCAATTGCTTTACAAAAGGAAATCTAACGTATTATCTCGACCCATGCCCGAATCGAAGTCTCGAGCCGGGATGAAAAAGTGCATCTTTGCAAAAAGGCCACACTGCTCATTATTTGTAATAATCATGCCAAGTTTTAAAAGCTATTGAAATGAGGCTGGGGAACCAAAATTCAAGATGTAAAATAAAGAGAAGAGCAAAGTCTCCAGTCAAAATACTCAACCTGCGTCGTATTGTCTATTTAAGACATTGATACTTGTAATTTCATATTCAACTTTTAAGTCAACCATCAACCAATTGGGTGTATCTGTTGGATATGTTGTATGAGAGCAGTCGAGATTATGGGTGCTGAGATTTCCATCGACAGCTTTAGAAGACAATCTATCGCCATAGTCACTAGTTTGTCTAGTTGGTTTATTTAATGCAAGATTCTCTAATCCGAACACTAAAAAAAAAAAATATCGGAACTAAGGGTATCTTACTTACTAAAATCTGCTGGTTTAACATGCATCTGATACATTAGCATCTATCACCAAGTCCCTCTTTGTCTACGTACATCTTCGAAAAAAAACTCGCCTTAGACAGACATAGACTGGGCGTCAGAGACTACTGATTAGGCCCGAAATCGTCACAATTAGTCGAAATCGTCAGTCATATTCTATTCACCACTCGTCGTCGAGTTTTTTCAACCCTTATGCAAGTAATTGTATAATAACTGAATAGCACATTTGTTTATTTCCATAGCAGTTGAAGAAATCGAAGAAACGAACCCACAGTGTTAACTATTGCGCTTGTAACATTACAAACAATGGCCACGAGCAATACAAGGGAGCTACGCACTTTGGCCCTATATGACCTCACGCTATAAATATTTACAAAGTATGACCGAAACTACCGACGCACCTACCGTTTTTGATGCTAGTTTTCAACGCGTTATTAAAAGAAGCAATCAAAATGAATATTTTCGTTTAAGACATTCTGGTATGTGTTTATATATGCTAAAACAATATAAAGAGCAGCAATTCGAGATTCATTCACGTGACAGTTTGAGGACACGCCTGATTTCAATAAAATCAAAAACCTTCCGCCAAATGCAATCTTGATTTCCATATAAAGTAATATCGATAATACTGCAGGGTTATTGGCAGTCTGCAAAGCAGTTGAAAAAAACCCGGACAAAACGGACCCGATGAGGAAATTCTACAGCTACTAGAGATTTGCCTAATGATTTTACATTTTTAATGGTAAAACATTTCTGCAAACTTCATGGACTCTTTAAAACGTAAACATGTCATAGTTTCATATATTTCATGGTACTACCCCTTTGTTCACTTGACCCATTGATTTATGGTCGTTTTGTTGATGATATTTTCATGGTTTGAACATACTCGATAGAGCAGTTTTGAGAATTATTTGAAATTCTAAATAATCACCATCCATCCATTTAAATTACTGCCAATCAAAAGAGCATAGTTTTTTTTTAGATACCACTGTTTACAAAGGAGACTTCATAGCAGGAACGAATAAAATTGATATTAAGGTATATTTTAAAGAAACTGATAATCATCAACTCCCGCACAAGTGTTCATTTCAGCCAAAGCATACCTTTTTTGGTATAATTAAGTCACAGGATTTACGATTTCACTAGATCAACCGATTTTAACCAAGCCTGAACGATTGTAATAGAGCGTGGATACTCTAAACGATCTTTACGAAACATTAAAAATTCTTCCTTAGCGGAGATAGCAACTAAGAACAGACTTTATATCGAAATATCCTCAGGCTTAAGGAATGTCCCTATTCAAGAGCATCTAACATGTGAAACCTCGAACTTAGTTTACTTAATTTAATGTAAAAAATGTCCCAAACAATATGTAAGAGAATCTAAAAGTGATTTACGTACTCGCTAAATGACCAATAGATCAGATATCAAATTAAAGAAAGACAAGCCTATTACTAATCATTTCAACGTGGACGACCATTCATCAGACGATCATAATCCCCGTTAAAGGCATTGTAACTGATGAAACTAAGAAATTTCGTCCAGTTAGGCAAGCCCATTGGATTGAGTCGCTAAATACAGCAAGACCCCTTTGTCTTCTCGTTTAATACCACTAGCTATCGAGCAAGTAAGATAATCCTTGCCCATTATGAGAGCCTACAAGAGAAATTCCCCATGTCTATAAACAAAAGATAATTGTTGCACATAAAATTCTCAGCATTTCCTGACTGTTAATTCCATTTTCTTAATGAAGTATTTGTTTCATCCTAGGACTGTACATTTGGGAGAAAAAAATCCTACCTACTCATCACAAAAATCACTTACCAACTCTTTTATCGGTATTCCAAAATCCAAATAAATTCAACAAAACTAATTTCATCCACACAAACGGCATATTATCAAATTGGTCTAATCAGTAGATGCTATTCAGAATCTTCAGTATTTGGTCCTATCCCGAATAAAACATGCTGTTTTTAGTTTTTCTCACTCTTGTCGTAATACAAAGTAATTGTTGTTATTATCATAACTTGATAGAGACTAGAGAACTCTAGTAAATACGTCGCTTAAATAAAATCAGTTACATTACTAAATGACATTCAAGGATTAAATACAATATTTGTGTAGGCTAATAAACATAGACAAGCTTAATAAACAATGAATAAATAAAATTAATACAAGGTTACAGTGAAAGCGTTTTCAAGAAAAAGGTCAATAACTCATATACAATATTTTTTGATTTTTATACGCCCACATGAAATGGGGGGCGTATATTGTTGTCACCCATGTCGGTCCGTCCGTCCACAATTGCTCGTAAACACTCTACAAGGAACAATTCTTGACTGATTTTGACGAAACTTGGTATGGTTGTTTGTAATTACCCCAGGATGAACCCTATTAAAAATCCGAAAAATCGTAAATATTGAGTATGAGTTATTGCCCTTGTTCTTAAAACGCTCGTAAACACTATAGAAAGCACGCTTCTTGACAGATTTTGACGAAACTTGGTATGAGTTTTAGTAATCACCCAAGGGTGAAACCTATTGAAAATCAGAATAATCGGAAAATAATTAGTACGAGTTATTGCCCTTGTTCTTGAAAACGCGTTCAATTTTAGCTTGTAAACACTCTAGAAGGCACAATTCTTGACGGATTTTGAGAAACTTGATGTGAGTGTTTGTTATCACCCAAGGATAAACCCTATCGACAGATTCTGATGAAACTTTGTAATATTGTTCAGTATCGCCTCAAAAGCTTTTTAACTTGTAAAAAATCAAAGCTGCCAGTGGGCGTATATTACCTTGACTGGAAAGCTACTTTTTGATTTTCGATAGAGTTCATCAATGGGTGATGATAAACAATTTCTTCTAGAGTGTTAATGAGCTAAAAATTGAACGCGTTTTTAAGAACAAGGGTAATATTTCAAACTAATTACTTTTTGATTTGTCTGATTTTTGAAAAGGTTCATAGGTTGGTGATTACAAACACTTCCACCAGGTTTCGTCAAAATATGTCCATAATTGTACCTTCGAGAGTGTTTATATAGGAGCTAAAAGTTTACTGCGTTTTCAAGAACAAGAACATTTAACTCATACTAAATATATTTTTTGTAGTGATTAGGGTGTTTGAAAAGTAACACATTACTATTCAACCGAAGGCACGGACACAGGGTTAAAGTAACGTTCACGAATGTAATATGTTAAAATGGAAATTCGTATTCGTAGTCCAAAGACCTAAAGACTAATAAGATTATAATAATATATTATAACTAAGAAAAAAATAATAAATTAAAAAAAATAAAAAGAGAAAAGAAAAAAAAACACACAACATGGATATCATCAAGGTACGCTGTGACTAGTTTTTTTTAATATAAAAGATGGTTGGGAATTTATCATGCAAATCAGAATAATTACGTTTTAACAACCCGAGAGACTTGGCTTTAAGTATGGAGTTG